ACACCCACACCCTTTAAATTATTGTTGAGTTTTAGCTATACCTTGTGATGTTTCTTTTTTTAGTATATATTTTAATAATCGTGACTCTTTTCGAAAATATTTTTTTCTAAAAAGCTAATTTAAAGAAATAAAAATTCAAAACGAAAATAATTAGAATCAACAAATTATTGTCCTATGAATCGAATTAAGGGGTGATCTCAAATAATATGTCTTATTTCTTTTGTAACAAAAATACATTTTTACATAAGATTGATAATAAAATATCTGTTAATAATGGTACGGGTGGACGAAAAAAAAATGCCCACATCAAAGAAGTAAAATCTGCTTGCATGTGCAAACGATGGTTTTTGGAAATTTATTAGTGTCTCGCAAAATTTTTCGAAAAAAATCGATCTCTCATATATAGAGAATTCAACTCACTAGAAAACAAGGGGGAAAAAGCAGATTTTAAGATTTTAAAACATTTTGAAAGATTTTAAAACATTTTGAAAGATTTTAAAACATTTTGAAAGATTTTAAAACATTTTGAAAGATTTTAAAAGATTTTGAAAGATTTTAAAAGATTTTAAAGGATTTTGAAAGATTTTGAGAGATTTGAAAGATTTTGAAAGATTTTGAAAGATTTTGAGAGATTTGAAAGATTTTAAGATTTAAAGAAGGTGGACTATTTTATTTAATGGCACTTAACTAAAATAGGAGTGGAAAGCTACCATTATCGAGTAACTGGTAACTGTGCTCTTGGGGCCATAAGTCCCACTTTAGGAGCGTACCCTTGACTCCTGAAGTACTATTATGGGAGGTACGCGTGAGTCCTCAAGTCCTATACTAGGGGGAGGTACTATTGGGTCCCTACGTTTATACTAGGGGGTGCCTCGGGGTTCTCAAGTACTATAAGAGCGGCATAGTCACGCGTTATGGAATTTCATTTTTTTACATTGCAACACTTATATCTTATCAAAGATAAAGGCAAATTCCCTGAAATTTTTATGATAGATAGAGACCATTTGGATCTATTACCAATAAAAATTTTATCGATTTATATGCACGCAAGGGTGAGCTATTAAAAATATTCTGACCGTTACGCAATTTCAAAAAATGGAAATTTTTTTACAGTAAGTAGAGAGACAAGTATTTTACTGCGGGTGTGGGTGTGGGATGTGGGTGTGGGCGTGGGTGTGGGAGGGGTGTGGGGTGTGTGGGTGGGGGTGGGTGTGGGTGTGAGTGTGGGTGTGGGTGGATGTGGGTGTGTGGGTGTGGGTGTGAGTGTGAGTGTTGGTGTGGGTGTGGGTGAGGTGTGAGTGTAAGTGTGGGGTGTGGGGTGTGGGGTGTGGGTTGTGCTCTTTACCGACATCCACACCACACCCACATCCACACACCCACACCCACACCCCACCCGCTCGAAATCTCTGGAAATTACTCAAAGCTATCGAATATTATAAGAACACTATTGAAACCTTTCGACAATATGGAATAGTAAGTGGTTTTCGAATTGGAATAATTCTTGGAAATATTGGAATAGTTTATAAAGAAATGAAAGATTTCAAAATCGTTCTTCATTATTACCGAAAAGCTCTAGATGACTACAATGAAGAATCTGAACCCAATTAAGATTCAATTTCTTTAGTCGAAAACAATATTGGTAGGATTTACTTTGAAGAAAAAAATCATTCGAAGGCATTGAAACAGTTTGTGAAATCTTTCGAACTTCGTTTAAAACACTTAGATAATACTCATCCAGATATCGCTCAATCTCTTAATAATATCGGCATAATTTTTGCTGACCAAAGAAAAAATGAAGATGCTTTATTTTTTTGCATATTATCACTTGAAATTAAGAAAAAATCAATGCCTTATGAGCATCCATCATTTGCAAAAACGCTTAGTAATATCAGTAAGATTTATGTTCGGCAAAATAACATTGAAAGAGCATGTCAATATTCAAATGAGGTCATCAGAATCTCTGGAAAGTCTCTTGGACAGAATCATGTAGAAACACAAATGTATAAAGGCACTTCTACAAACCCTAACGAACTGTAGAATACAATTTTTGCGTATGAACTCGTTTTCTGAGTCTTATATTTCATTTCTCATTAATAAAGAATCAAAGAAAATTCGTTTCTTGATTTGAAGAATTACGTTCATATTCAAAAAATTGAAGAATTTACTGAATTTTTTTATTACTAGAGCAACTCAAAAAGTGAAACGATTCATATGTGTATGGGTTTAGTTTACCAATAGTTTCTTAATATTTTAGTAAGTTTAGCTTTGTAATTGGATAACTGAACAAATGATTATCGAAGAGACGGGTAACTGAGTGTCTGTCTATATAGCCATTTGATGCATGAAATCTATATTTGATAGAAGTGTCTCAATTTAATCATCAAAAATATTATTGATCAAAGTTTAGTATATCTTTTTTCATGTAATTCTTCTCTACTTCGATAGTTACATTATCTTTCAATGATTTAATCTCTTCTTCAATCTTGATGTTGTTAGTGATTTAAGAAACAAACGAGATCAAACAACTAATGCAAGTGAAAGAAAAACAAGTTGTTCTATCATACTCTCCTATATATAGATAATAAAATTTCAATTTTGTTATATTCTAGTTAGGTACAATACTTTTTAACAATACCTTTGAAGTTTGCTTCTGGGAATAAGAAAAAAATTTGGTTTATATTTCAATCATTTAGAAAATTGGAGATGTGGGGATAGAAATACCTAGATCACCTTAGTTAACAAACTCACCAACTCCAAAGTAATCACTATCAAAGAAACGTTTGTAAGCCGATCGTTTAAAAGAAGAGTTGACTATTATGATTAATTTAGAGTCTTTCTCGATAGAGTCTTATGCATACACATGTTGCTAGCACATGTGAGTAAATTAGTAGGCTTGAGTTTGCTTTCAATGAGTGAAGAAAACTGTGTGTTGAGGGCTTGCTGCATAGTCGTGCTTCTGCTTATGTTACAACGATTTGTTTGTTTTTCATCTTTTTCTGTCACGTGGTCTTAAAGATTTCTTATCGTCGACTGTTTTGACTGCATTTTTTATTTCTGGCTTTTTTCACTTTTTAACAACATACTTTCTCATGAACGAGTCTAAACAATACATGAATCTATGACGTTTTTAGACTTGATGTATTTGCTCGTGTGTTATTTCAAGAGAAGAATGTGGAGAGTAAATGAAAAGAAGATTCATATACACGTTCCATCAAAGATTTTAGTTTGTTACATAAGGACAATAGAGTATCTATCCTTGTACTCTGCTGAAAGCTGACTTAATGTACAAGTATATTGAATTCATTACATTTATAAAGTAGCCGTTATTCCTTCATCTATGTCATTTTTATTCTCGACAATGAATTTTTTACTTTATTGTCACTCACAATAATAAAAAATATTGGGTTTTTTTGTGTGATCGAACGTCAATGAGAAAAAAGAAACAAATTATTTAGTTCAACTTGTTTTTATAGATTTCTTTAATATTGAATAGATGGATGTCAATCGTGATAGTAAGTTATTTTATAATTATATATTAACAATTAATATTTATTTAGATTTTTATAATGTTTTACCTGAAATTTTTAATGATATAAATAATGCTGATTATGTAGCAATTGATGGTGAATTTACTGGAGTAATAGCATGGCATAAAATGAAATATTTTGATACACCAGCTGAACGATATAAACGTCATTATGAAGTAAATTGTTTTTGTTTCATAGAAATATTTAATGCTTCAAATTATTTATTTTAGTGTGATCGGCATTATTTAATGGTTCAAATTGGACTTGCAATGATCCGATGTATAAATCCAGCAGAAAATCAGTACAAAAATTCAAATAAATTTTTTAATTTTAGTATGATGTTTTGTTTTGCATGCTTTAGATATACATTAAGAGCTTATAATTTCTATGTATTTCCTGAAGGTTCAACAAATACATTTGATTTTCAATCGAAAGTAAAAATGAATAAAATTTTTCGACAAAGACAAGCTTTATAAATTGTAGAGTTCATCATTACAATTTCTAGCTGCTCATCGTTTTGATTTTGCTCAATTATTTCAAAAAGGCAAATTATATAAATGGTGTTCACAATACAAATATATTTCTGTTTTTTTAGGAATTCCTTTTGTGCGTAAAACAACATATTTTAAAAAATTAAAAAATTCACAATTCTCATCATCATGTCTGTCTAATAGTGGTCAGACATCGAGTGAAAACAATAACAATGAAAGGTACACAGATTTTAAGTTATTAAAGGAAAGACTTTAGTTTTGTTTTTTTTGCTGAAAGAAAATCTGAAGTCCTGGCGGATTCATCAAAACCATCGGCATCCAATGATTTGTCAAATAACGAAACCTTGAATGTTTCTGTGGCTGGATTTTCAGCAGTTATTTGGTAGTTTTTGAACTCTTTTTTAATATTTACAAAAAATCTTTGTTTTGGTTTTTTTAGGAAACTACAAGCATCCGTAAGTGATTGTGTTGATATATCGATGGTCATTAAGAACGGTGTTTTTTGCTTTGAGTTTATGGAGTTTAGAGTAGTCATGGAGCCGATATTAGTCTCATCTTTGATGTAGAAAATGCTTTAGTCTGGATAGAGCCATGAAGTCGTGTCCTGTTATTATTCGATTGAGTTTAAATGCGATCATTGAGAATTCAATAAAAGAGTTTAGAAAATATTATCGATCATATGATGATGAACAACCTTTACATGTAGTGTTTATTCGCTTCAGAATTGTTGAATTTGAGTTAGTTAAAGAGAACTCATATTTTCAAATCCATAGATAGAACTTAGTGAAATTAGTTCAAACTTCAATACATTCAAATTTATGCTTTACTCATTGAAAATGTATGATCCATTTTTGAAGCATAATTTGAAAGAATTTTTGTAGTACCAGTATGAAAATTCAAATCACTTAACATACAGATCATGAGAAATGCTCTTAATATACGATCAAAGACTGTATTATGTATAATATCTTGTTATAACACATGAACTATTCCCTTTTTACATTGCTAGACAATTAAGATAAAGGATGATGAAGAAATATGTCTCAACATAGATAGAATGAAACAGCTTTCCTGTACTTAATAGCAGTAGCTATATCGTGTTTCACATTAAAATATGACACGGGTTATACTAATAGGCTTTATTGAGTATTTCAATTCTACTTAATTGTGGAAGAAGTATCAATTGAATATAGCAGGATTCCAGTTTTCGTGAACAAATGATTCAGTGGTCGAAAATTTCAGCAAATCGGCCATGATGATAACTTACTAGATAAAACGTGAACACGAGATTTGTTAATGATCTCAACATGAGTTCGATCAATATTCAACCGAATTGCTTCGAATCTAGTATGACTCAAGGATCTGTATTGGATTCGATGTTCTTTATATCTTGGCTTTTACATGAAATAAAACAACAAAAAACGTTACTCGTATTTAATTTATTTAAAGATACATTTATTTAGGGAAAGCCTATAATTGGACATAACATACAGTTGGATATACTGCATATAATCAATCAATTTTTCACACCTATACCTCCGGTATATCGATTGAAAAACATTTTAATACTTAGTTCTTTTTGTTATTTTAGTCATATAATGAATACAAAATCATCGTTAAATCTTTATTTCCGAAGTAGATATACAGAATAACTAATCAATAGTGAGTTTTATTAAACGTTGTCTTTTTTCTTAAAGATTAATCGATACAAAAACAATTGCATCATCATCATTTTTTCAAGTAAAATCCTTTTAAAATTTATACTTATCTATTTTAACTTTTAGAATATGATCTCTAATACAGCATTAAATGCTCTGTATAAAATAGTTTGTGAACCATCATTTCCACAATGCCGTTTTGGTATCTTAAAAATATATAAATTTTATACATCTGTACTAATATATTTATTCTCTCTAGAAACTGTTGAAAATTTCCAATATGCATCTGGTGAATATGAACATACGGCTGGTTATGATGCTACTTGTACAGCTGTTTGTATGGCTAAAATGATGGCATATATTGGTACTAAAGATGTTAAGCAATCATTTTGTTTGATTTGTATTTTATTTTCAGCTGAAAAAACTGATTTTAAACAAAATCCAATTGAGCATGCCTCAATTAATATATTTACTGGAAAGTAAGTTAGAAATATTTTGTCAATGATATATTTAAAAAAAAAGGAAAATATTTTTAGAGTATTTCATATGCGTTCATTTGATATTGTCTATTCTGATATGCTTAATGATGATCGTAAAAATATTAATATTTTATTAAAAGAAATTTTTATATTTTTTTTTTTATTGTAGACTTACCTGATCGATCTTGTGTTTTCTATGTAACTCATCCTAAAACATGGTCAACAACAAATATACGTGAATTTTTTTCTCAATGGAATCTATGTGCTTATGATCAATTGGATTCAATCACACATATTATTGCAGTATCGTTAGAAAACGATACAATGGAGACAAGTTAATATTGAAAAAGAAAATTTTTACTGAAATCCCTAAAAGATTAAATGTAAAACACGTTATTAAGGTTGTTGCTTAAACATCTGTTTGTAGCATTGGTCATCATCTGAAGTGAGGAGAACGTTCGAATTTTTGCTTCAATACTTTCATCCTCTTCCTAGATCATGTTTCACAAAAATAAAAACGAACATAAATAATTTCGTCTTTTTTAGTGTTAACAAAGATGCGTACCAATGATAGAAATTTAATAATTACTTCCTATGCAGTATACAATGATCTTGATACTTCGAATAGACAAATCATGTCACACGATCATCTTTTTCATTTTGATTTAAACAAAAGAAAATCTAATAAACGAACTTATGATGATCAAATTGGAGTTACATCAAATCAAAAAGTTACAACAATAGCAAATGTAAGTTCTTTGACGTAATCTTTAAAATAAAAACTTTTGTATTATAGTCTATGAATATTTCTTCTGATCCAACAACAACCCCCCCTTCAAAGACAATGACGAGTAATAAGGATCTCTCATTTGACAGTAAAATGAATGAAACAACTGAGCCAAAAGAGCAAACAACAGTAGTTAAAAGAATTAAATTGGTTGAAGATGAAGATGAAGATGACTGGTAAAATTTAATACAATGATGTGACTGTTGTTTTTCGATTCAAGCATTTTGTTCATTAAAAATAAAACTTGATTGCTATTCAACAATATAGATAACTAAAAATATCGAAACAAAGGCAAGCTTTTTTGTGTCAACAGTAAAAGATTTTATTGACTCTTGTTAACCATATTGGAAAAAAAACCCTGTTGAGTATAGATTTACCGGCAACAATGGAATTTCCTTGGGCGGATGACAGGCATGAAATCGGTAAAGGCCTATTATAACGCACTTAGATTGTTTCCGTCATCGGCGATTTCTACTCTTAGGAATATCATCACTTAATTGTTCTAAGTGAAAACAAACGTGAATCGATTAGATATCTTATCTTACAAGAGTTTTCAGCAAGTATTTTCTCATAATGGTTGTCCCTCGCTTCAGTGACCTAATAAGAAGTAAGAAAGAGACTGGTTATCATGGTCAAACTTCTCTTAAGTTGGCTAGATTCAGCTCAGTGCACAAGAATGTACGAAGTTAACCTACTGTAGATTCGATCAAAAGAGTGGAGTGGGAGTGCAACTTCTGAGGAAGCATTTCTAGCTACTAGGGGTGGCACTTTATCTTTGCTTGATAAAGTAAAAGTAAAGTTGGGTTACTTTACTTTACTGGGTAACGTAAAGTAGATGTACTTTATGAGAAAAGTAAAGTAAAATAAAGTAAAGTAAAG